TTTAGATTAATCGGTTGAGTTTATAAAAATTTTCTTTCCCGTCAATGTTTAGATGGTTTATTTAAAATTTCATACTTATTATTTTTTTAATTTTTTACAACAAATTATTTTTAAAAAAAGAGGTGAGATTGAATCTGTTGACAAAAACTTGCCTGGCTTGATCGCAGTGTTACGTTCTGCTGGTGCGGGAGAGTGTTCCTAGAAACATGGTACATAGCTTTTTGGTCGACATATATCGTATTTTAAAGATATGGAAAGCACCTGACTCTATTTGCCTTTGTGGCCTCTTTCACTCTGTTTACTCCAATGTCTATGTAAACCTTGCTGTATTTGATTATGCATCTACCGGGCGAGACGTTGCCCGAGGCCATGTTGGCGAGGCTGCAGAGCGTTTAATTCACTTGTTGTGTGTTGTTCCACGTCAGTCTATGATCCATGATAATCTTTTGTTCAAATACTCTGATTCTGAGCTTATGGAACACCTTAAGTTGTCAGGAGATTTCATGGAAAAGTGCGAAGGAAAAGGGTTTATTTGATGGAGATGAAGTTCGGAGAAAGAAACTGCGAGCTCTGTTGCCAAATAATGGAATTGTAGTGAAAAATATGAAGACAGGTGAGAATGTTTGGTTACTAGAAGAGTGATGGCTGTTTTTTCTTTTGATGAGCATTGCGGATTGTAGTGATCAATGCTTACAAAGACAATGAAGATGAAAACAAGATTATAAGCAGCAAACAATCGGATTGGTTCTAAAATAAATTCAGAACAAATGTAACATCACTTGTGCACACCTGGCATTGCAGAAATGTCTTTCAACACCATCTCATAAATAATATCATGACTTGCCTCTTAATTCCTGTCCCAAAACGAGATGTTGATTTTAATTTCTACACCAAACTACGACATCAAATGTGGCAGATCCTCCGATCCAAGCATGGATTATGTAATTACCATTACCTCTCCGACATGCATCGTTTTATCAGTCCTATGCGGACTAAGAGGTGGGAATTAATATTTAGAGCTTTCTAAATAAAAGCATATGTCAAGGCATCTTCTTGATGTTGGGAATCAACATGCACACGTAGCACCCACACACAAAATAACAAGCTCAAATCAAAAATAAAAATACACAAATATATTTATTTCGATCCAACTCAAAATGACATATTTCAAATCTAATTCACTATTAAATAAATCTTTACAATTGAGAGACTTTTGGAATAAGAAAAATCACCAAAAACTCCTTACTTAAAATTTAATTCAAAACCTAATTACAACATTTTAATAGCCTATCACCTAACTATTCTCTTGGTATCTAACTATTTAGGATTACTAAACTAAAACCAAAACATCTTATTTATAAGGGTGAAATCCCTTATAATTTTACTAAACTCTTGATGTGGGATACAAGACAAACTCGAACTCTTATAACTTTACTCAACTTTCGATATGAAATTATGAGATTCAAGGCAAACCCCAACAAATCCTCCATTTACTTGAATCTCCAAACACTTCAACAGTATCCACAAAGCTGACATGCTTGCCTTTCTCTTTTTCTTTCATCATAGGAATCCCAACAACTGAGACTCTATCAAACATATACAAGTGATTTTTGACACTATTCCCTTATAAAATCATATTACCATTCTTGTACACTTTCAATGAATCATTACTACCATAGTATGTGTACCCCTGAAAAGTTAACTCACCCAAAACAATAAAATTGTAACTACAACTTCGTATATACCTTACATGATGAAGTATCCTAACAATACCATTGTGAGATCTAAAGTGAACACTCTCAATACATTGAATCTGCATCTTTTCGTTATTAGCAACCACAATATCCCATACTTCTCATTTTCATCCAACTCCACAAAGTAACTCCTATTATTGCAAATATAAATTGTAGCAACAAAATCTAAAACTCAACCATTTATCACCTTTCAAAATCTGAGTCTCGTCCACACAAATTGTCAAAATGACATCATCATCATTAGATACGATGGCAACAGTATCACTGTTTTCTTCATCTGATTTCTTTTCATTATTTGCCCTTTTGAAAGTAGTCATATCCCTTCTCAACTTCTTGCAGTGCACTTGGATATGTCTCTTTTAACCACAATAATAATATTCTATATCACTATAATCTCTGTCTCTTGACTTGGATCTCCCTATTGATCCATCAATCCTCTTTTGAGTCTCCCTCGATCAAAATCCTTTACAGCTAGTGTACTCCCTCCAAATGATGAGTTCTGTACTCCCATAAACCTTTCGCTCTCACGTAACAGGGTAGTCACATCATCCAATGTCAAAGTAAATCTACCCACTAACAAACTCTAAACTAAAGGTCTATAAGACTTGAACAAAGATGATAGCAAAATTAAAGCCTTTTCTTCATCTTTTAACTCATCAACAGAAATCATCAGCAATTGAGAAACCAATCTATTAAACTCATTCAGATGATTATGAAGATCGTACCTTCTTCCATCTTCAGAGAATACAGATTCATATTCAAACATAATTTATTAGTCAATGACTTCGAAGCATAAATACCCTCAAACTTATCTCATAAACTCTTTGGAGTATTCTCAGTTAACACACTATATCTTACCTCTGAGGCTAGCACTAATCTAATAGTACTAACAACTTTCTTTTGAATTCTATTTCAATTACCGTCAAACATTTCCTCAGGTTTATTACTCTCTAATGTTGATCTAACCCTTGCTGTACTAACAGATCTTGAATCGTAATTTGCTATAACATGAAATTACTCTTTCTATCAAATAACAGAATTTCAAACTTAGGCATAGATATACTAGACATAACTTTTTCAAATATCTTGAAATACTTGCTTCACAATCTTTTGGGCCGACCTCTTCTTCCACGAACTTCGCTCTGATACCACTTATTAAGACAAAAGGCCCCAATCTAATCACACCAACGGAAGCAAAATTAAACAATCAATTAATCACACAGCAGACAACGATTTAACGTAGTTTGATCCAACTGACTTACGTTTACGGATGAAAAATAAGATCCACTAGTTGTAGAGAATTACAAATATACATCAAATCAATCTTACTCAATAATCAATATCCATAGGCTTTTTCAATCTCCTCTAATTCTACGGAGTATTCTCAACTCAAATAAACACAAACTCATGTGCACCCTTTTAACATAAACAAACACATACCCATATGTACCCATTCATTATACTTATGTAGACCCTCTCAATCTCTTCTAGTCCATTCTCAAACATTCAAAGATACACACCCATAAGACGTAAATCCCTAGTACTTCTATGAGGTATCTATCTTACAAAATCTTACAACTCTCTTACATCTTTTTCTCATACCTAATCCTATAAAGACTTCACCTATTTGTAATCATACAAACTTGCCTATTAAGAATCCATTTCCTTTTAGAATTCTTCTTTTGCAAGTCAAATTTGCTTTTTAAGAATCTTTTTCTTTTATAATTCTTCTTTTGTAAGTATTCTTGTCCATCAAGCAATATCTAACCAATCATAAATAAATTTGTTATGAGATTTAAGTTATTATTCCTAACAATCTCCACTTTGACTCAAATTTCATCAAACATCTATTTTCATGCTAGACATGCTTGACTCTACCTATAATAGAAGTCTCACAATCATTTTCTTTTGTGTGCCTTCACGCTTCATGCAAGCTGATCTTCAATCCTCAAAACTTGAATTCAAACTTTTCTCTTGAATCAAGCTTTTTTGGACTTACCTCTTCCCATATCTCAAACCATGTTCTGATACCACTTATTGGGAAATCAATATGGATACACAGCACCCACACACAAAATAGCAAGCTCAAATCAAGAATAAGAATACACAAATATATTTGTTTCGGCCCAGAAAAGTCACCAAAAACTCTTTATTCAAAACTTAACCCAAAACCCAATAACACCATTTTAATAACCTACTTACCTAGCTATTCTCTTGGTATCTAACTATCTGGAATTATTAAACTAAAATGAAAACATCTTATTTATAAGGGTGAAACCCCTTATAACTTTATTAAAGTCCTGATGTGGGATACAAGACAAATTTTCAACTCTTATAACTTTACTCAACTTTCGATGTGGATTATGAGATTCAAGGTAAACCCCAACAATTGAAGCCTTCAAATCTGCATTCAACACAACATTATTGTAATTTTTACTATAAAAAAAAAAAAAAGATTGTATGTGTGCGCTCCAAAAGCAAAGATAAATGCAGAACCTTTGGCATATTTCTTCTAGTCAAAGCTAAAACATTCACGTATGAGATAATTTGAAACAATTTATGATTCAGTTTCATGTAATATTTGAGGTTTTAGTTATCTTTCGTGCACTTAACCAACACATAAAGCTTATGTAAACAGAAATATAAACCAGTAAAACATATTGATACCATATAACTTAACAATGAAATATTCAAAATGCTAATGGCTTTTAGCAGAAGAACTAGAAAAGAGAACTACCTTTCAGACTTTGAAAAATGGCCAGCACCAAGTTCACATTAGAACAACAGCATGTTATCATCCGTTTCATATCCCTTAGTTTAGCCACAAACTTTGCAGGTTCTGAGTACATGACTCACAAATCTGCTGCAATATATTACAAAGATTAATTGTGGCATATGGAGAATACCAGATTTCTCCTCTGCAACTTTTCCAAATGTAATCTAAAACAACATAATCTATCAACTCGACCATGAAATCCACAGCTAAGAAGCTCCAAAAAATACAAATTAGACAATATTTTATTGAGTAATATGCATATATATAGAAGTGCTTAAGTGGCATAATTTGCCAGGTACTCAATCGTTAGCGCTGACCTAGCAGTTTGAACATCTAATTTACTTCTAAAACAAACAACTTCTTCAAAATTTGAAATTCACTAAGTTCAAGCCGTAACTCAAAAGGTTAGTTTCTCAACACAATAAGTAATCAAAATCTCACCCATAATCAGTTTCAAACAATCATTAACTGCAGGGAAGAACTGAAGCAAGCATCACATTCGGGGTCCTTAAAAAGATTCACAATATTTAAAATCGACAAGATCCTTAAAAGGTGAAAAAGTTGTTTTGCCATTGTATGTGTGGCTTACTATGAGAGGTGCCTAGATTTTCTCCAAAAAAAACTTTGTACCTTCAATTAGCCTAATTGTTCTTAGATAAAGATGTAAAAAGAAGCTCTTGCAACCACCTCTAAAACATTGTTAACAATTGAAAACTTCAATCCCTGGAACTTCCTTCAATCATAGACACAGAAGTTCTAATACCTTTTATTGAAGATATTTCCACATTGCTAGGATTACTTACACGTGTGAAAAACTCATCACAGTATTCACTAAGTAACTAGTCTCCACAATCATGGTATTAGATTTTAGCATCAAAATCAATCCCCATGGAGTGTTTGACAAAAACAGAATGCAATTCAATACTAATATACCAACAGCATTTACCAGATTGTTTCAATGGTCAAAAAAATGAAAATCGAAATCTTTAAGGAGAAAGATAACACCTCCCACTTTGTAGTTGTAAGAGGAATAGTAGGGTCAAGCATTGTAGTCAGGACATCTATAAAAGGAACTCCAGCAACAGCAGCCCTGAACAAATCAGGCCTCATGTTAAGAACAGCACCAATAAGCAATCCACCAGCACTTCTTCCCTCATTGCACAAATTTTCCTTTGAACAGTGCTTCTGTTCAATTAAAAACTCGGCACAAGCAATAAAATCTGTGAAAGTATTTTTTTTTTCATAAAAATTTCCCATTCCAATACCACTGCTTCCCCATTTCACCACCTCCACGAATCTGAGCTATTGCAAAGATAAACGCATGATCAAACAAAGACAGCCTTGATGCCTTAAAGTCAGGATATATACACATCTGATAACAGTCAAGGAACACTATATTAAAATACTGAAAAAATAATAATTATATACACCAACACTTGTGCACATTCAACTAAAAGGATACACCAATTGATGCAACATATAATTATAGATGCGTGAAAGTCATTGTTGCAACAGTTAGCTGAAATACCAAACCGGCTGAATGTAAACCGGTAAAGTGGCCACTTAAAAGATCATTCAACTTTCTGGATAAAGAACTTTAAGAAACTAAAGGGAGAAAGAAAGGGTGAAAGAGGATGCCCATAGAAGTGAAACAAGAATGAACAAATTTTAGAGACTTTCACAGTGATCACAAATCCAGAAAAGGCTAGAAAAACCAGGGACCAAACCAAATAGTGTAGAATCAAGGAAGACTATACAAGCAGGCAATTGTCTTCTACGCATCACATTAAGATGAACTTCCACTTTATTTCAATATGATCTAAGTGAACAAAAACTGTGATCAAATAGAAGCATAATAATTCCAGTCTGTAATCTCACAAGAGTTTATCCAATTGGATGCATTGTTACCTCATATGAACCATAACCGTAAAGCAACATTGGATAAGATCCATCAAGCTTGACAAGATTCTTCTGGCACACAATTGATATAGGAATCTGAGTGCCATCAGAAGCATTAGCCCATTTCCTTTTAGTGACATAATTAGATGCATCAAAACCTCCCAAAACCTGAATAAGAGATAATGTACAAAGTTAATCCAGTATAATATACATACATACATACAACAACAACAACAACAACAAACCAAGCCTTATATCCCATAACTCTGGGGTCGGCAATATAATATAGCTGCATGGGACCAAATCAAATAATGAAATACAATTTCATAAACCTTCTACTTTTATTCCTGACCAGTGAAAAAGGACCATGGTTTCAGGAAGGAGAATGAATTCTTTCACAAAATATGATCAATAACATTTTAAGAACAGATCAAGTCACTGAATTTTCCCATCACTCACCAACACAGTAGAACAAGAAGCTAAAGGTAACAAGAACATAAATCTACCTGGAATTGAAGAATGCACATGATCTTGACATCTAAGCATTAATATTTTATGCAACTACAATTTATTTTTAGAATGTAGAGGGAAACTAGAAGATCTCATGAATATTATATCTATACACATAAAATTCAAGAAAAAAGGCATATGTTAAAATGAAAATAAATGCTACAATCCTGTATTAAGGCACTTGATACAGGGATATTAAGTTGACAAAACAAGGAAATTTTGCTCTCCATCATGTATTGATCAGAACATCCATTTGAAACTCAAAACACTCAATCAGTCTGGAAGAATTAAGTAAATAAATCAGATTGCCTACCTGTAGGTTTCTGATGAGTGATCCAAGGAAAGGCAGAAATTTAAAAACAGCGTATTAACATCATAGAATACGTAGAAAAGTCTCACATAGAAGCTCTAAACTAGGCATGTATTACAAAATTAAATTAATCATTAGCTGTTATATGGTCATGTTATGTAGATGTCATTATAATGACTATGATAGCCTAATAATGACTATGATACAGAGATGAGTTCTGGTACTGATATAGAAACTACTGGAACAAAACAACATGGAGGGAGACCAGGGGAACTATAGAAGGCTTGAGTTATAACATTAAGAGGCAAGGAAAACAGAAAAGGACTACTGTCTTTGATAGGAACTGAATAAGTCCTAAACTTTAAGGCATGGAAACTGAAAACCCATACCTTATCTGGCCGAAGGATCTCATCCATTGTAATGTAAACTAAAACTTCATAACCAGCCCATCGAAGTTATGACGTTGTACAAACTAATGGCTTCCCAACTGGTGCTCGAGTCTCTGCATCAATGACATAGACTGTGTAAATTTCATCTCCTTTAGTGTCCTCAGCGTATTCAACCAACTTATGATTCAAACTGACCCGAATAACAAAGTGCATAAAAAGACTTCATATAAAAAATGAAACTTCAGAAAAGGAAAGCAATTGCATTCAAAACCAAGTTAACAAACAATAAAAGCTGATCATAAACTGACCTTAAATAGCACCAATTTTGTAACAAATCATGTTACTTGAGCCTCAACATTCTCAATCCAAGATTACATGCTCTGGCTGGAGCATCAGGCCCTGTAGGCTGAATGATAAATGAACAGCGGTGGAGCATCCCGTTAGGAACGGGACGCCTGCAACATTGAACATATTCCTTTCCTCCCAATGTTTCTTGTGTAATAAAAATAATAGTGCCCCTTTCGCACCCAAGGTTTTAGATGTTATCTCCTCTTTTAATTCGCCCTCTTATCTCAGCATAAATTTCCGTTCTTCATATTTTTAATTGGATCCAAATTAATTTAATAATTTAATTCTAGTATAATATTATAAAATATTATTTTTAAATATTAAATTATATTTTAAATTAAAATATTAAATAATAATTTTATTAATATATTTAAAAAATAAAATAAATAATATAATATATATTTTTATATATATCTAAAAACGAATCAAAATAAAATATTCTAAATGAATAATCCTAGTCTGACTAAACTTCGATTTTTTTCAAAAAAATCAAATCCATCTCTGGTACGATCCTCGATTTAAGAAAAATCATCCATTCCAATATCAAATTAAAACGAATTGAAACACATCAAATACAAATAATTTTACCGTTCATGATCAATCCATTGAAAATCGTAAAATAATTCAATTTTACTTCTCTCGATTTTATTTTTCTTTTTATAAAGAGGACAATTGACGTTACTCTTTTATCTAGCATAATAATTCCGTCTATTATTAATAATGATAGATCACAGTAAAGAAACATTAACTTTTCCAATAAATCTGGAGCTCTCCTGAAATTCTTAATTACCAGATACCTCACAGGCTAACATTAGAATGAAATGACAGAAATGTACTTCTCTACCCCAAGCAGAACAGCTCTGGGTTTTATTCATTTCAATGGACCAGCCGTAATCTTCAAGTGAAGAAGAAAGTAGAAAGAAAAAAAAAAAACAAAACAATGATAAATTTTAACTTAATGAAGCAAGATATACATAATGAAACAAATACACAACCCAAGAATTCATAACAGACATTAACCAAACATCAGATAGCGTATATTAATAGAGAATGTATGGGAATGAAGGAGGACATTTAAAGGAAAAGCCATGTTGCAACATACAGCAACCATCCAATAATAGCCAGAAGAAGAACCGGCTTGGACCAGACAAAATTTCCAGGACAGGTCCACTTGCAAACATTGTATCAAGGCTTCCTCGTTATGCCTCCTTTGAACAACCATACGCTTGGATAATATTACAAGTACTGCAGTATGTAATTCCCTTTGATTACAAGAAATAAGGAACTCCTGTCCTGGGCCCTCTCATCTGATTATTCTCATCTGTTTCAGTGAAGAACTTCACTTCTCTCTCCTGAAGAGATGCCAAAAAAAATTAGTATCATGAATAGCATGTATTTGAAGAAGAGATTACATTTCTTACCAATACAAGTTGAAACAGCTTAAAACAGCTGGCAATCCTAAAAATAAATCTGGTACTAAAGCAGACTACCCACATAGACAGACGTATAAAAGTTAAAAGAATAGAAGGCACGAGCAAAACAATTCTCACCATATTCTCATTGAAGCTCAATATAGAAGCTACATTCCCACAACGGTAACAATAATTTGGTGCAGACCACACCTCCAAAAATCAATAACCAAGAAACTCCATTAAGCTCTTAATACCATTAAGCTAAAAAGATGACAGCAGAAAGTTTAGTGTCTCACAGTTACTAGGCCTTTATCTTGAAACATATACTTAAGACCTTCTTGCACAAGTTGGTGAGCTCGACAAACAAGATCAAGATTATTTATGACGTTGAACTGCAACAGATGAAAAGGTTAAAATTATTATTTCAGCATGACAACGTGACTAAAGACTGAGATGAGATTGATTACCTCAGATGTGACCCTGGAGCCAAATAACCAACCTGCTCCACGTGGACTGACTGCCCATGTTTCAATATCTTCAGGATCACTCCACATGAGATCACAGAATGGGCCTTCATGAGGGATTTCACAGTTCCGCTCAATTACCCTTATCTGGCATAAAAGCAGAGAAAAATATAAGTGATCAACACCATGTAAGGAAATAAAGAGAAACTAACAATCATTACCCTTATAGTTGAAAAAGTCCCACAGGAAAACTACTTCTTGCTAAAGAAAATACCATCCATATGAAACAGATTGTTATTGACTAAAGAGTCAATTATCTCTTCAGCAGAAGAAACCAAATAAAATGCAACTGCATGACCAAGACTTAGTTTTTACTTAATAAGACCTTGGAGTCGAAGGTTATTCATGAAACTGAATAGGGAGGATATTAATCCTGGGACTAGATGGTTACAAAGTCATATAAAGTCCAATGCTGCAATGTACTGCCTTTAGGTTCAAAAGCCAGAAAGGTTGCCTGATCAACACATAAAGCCAAAGCTAAAAACAATAAGAAACATCTAAAGAACTATAACCTTCCCATCATTTCTTAAAAATTTACTCATCTTCTGTTGACTATATTTTTTCTTCCACTCAAATAAAGAGATGAAAGGGGCAACTGTACATGCCCTGGTTTTATTTGATTCCTCGAGATGTATCATACCAATTTACTACGTAATTATTCATGCTTTGCTACAAGAAAACTAGCCTAAAGTTCAACATAAGCAAGTTATGATCAAAAGAAATATCAGAGCTACATGCAAATACTCTAAAAATACAGGACATGACATGCACAAGCAACAAACAAGTAAAATAAATGAAAAATTAAAAATTAAGTGAATTTCTAGTGTTGCAGCAAATAAAAATGCCAGTCAACCAAAAACTAAGCAAAAAGGAAAAATACCTGATCAATTGTTCGTATGTCAGGAGAAAGGCCACCATGTACACAAAGTACCTGCAAAATAGAAAATAATAGAACTCTTAAAGAGGATCAAATAAGGTACTTAGATAGAGATGGTTTAGAGAGAGAATGCCTACAGTCCCATCTATAATTGCTGAAAGTGTAAGATAGTCAAAAACATCTGTACAATACCGCCAGGCATTGGCATTTCCATACTTCCTCTGGCACTCATCATAGAAACCATAAACCTAGTAAAGAGATGTACACACAGTCAAATGTCAGTCCTTGCTATTTGGAATGTTTTTCTCAAAAATTACAGCTTTAGAGCACTACTCAACAAACCTAAAAATCAAACTAACATGGTATTTGCATATAGAACTTCCAATAACCCTGATCCTCAGATTCAGTATGCTACTCTCAAAATTTAACCTTTGATTTTCGTTAATGTGTCCATATAGAGGCGTTCAATCCTTTTTTCCTAAAAAAGGGAAAAAGTAATCATGGAACTGTAACAAAGCTTTAAGCATGACAAGAGCGGCCTCAAAGAAAGAAAAATGAAAAGAAATAGTAGTGTGACAAACTTATAATCACACACAATAGCACTTCCATATATTCTATAAGGTCTTTACAAGCATATTCCATTCCGGTATAATTCAAAAGCATACCTGAGTTAGTTGTCTGCTTTCATGATTCCCTCGCAAGAGAGTGATATTAGCTGGGTACCTATGATTCAGAAAATATAAAGAGAAAAAACAATGTTACCTCTAATTTCAGACAAGAAACAGCATTCGATTACCTAACAGGCCAGAAAACAGAACCAGAAATCTAATTTCCTTATCAAATGCATAGAAAAAGCAATAGCAGAACCACCAATTCATGATATCTGCATTTTGAGTCTTCTAAATCTAAGTCTGATAATGCATACAATATATCCTAGCAACTATCTTCTTGCCAAATCAAAATGATAGCTTCGAAAGGATTTTTTGGCCTGAAGTAGGAAAAATAGTAAATTCAAAACAAATAAGAATGAACATTGATTTTTCTTTCTATACCATACTACAATTTGAAACCATGTATGATGGTTGCTAATTAACAACAATGACCAGGTACACCTTAACCTGGGGGTACATTGTACATTAAAGGTCTGAGAATTGTGCTAGAAATCACATAGTGAACCAAGAACAAGTCCAAAACAAAGAAATAATGTACCCAAATACATGGTTGAAAACCAGAAGATAAATCCCAAGAAAAATTACAGAGATGCTTAAGCATGCATCCAAAGGGCATACCTTGCCTTAAGAAGCAAAAGAATAGTGAAAACTTCAAGACTATTATAACCTCGATCAACAAAATCTCCCTGTCCAAGGTAATAGGAAGATTTAGCACCCATTAGTTGAAATCAACACTATAACAGACATCAAAATCACATAGAATTTTCACAACAATCTCCAAGCATGAGATGTAAACTGTACCATAAAAATGTAATTTGTCTCCGGTACATGATCTCCTGTCCGAAAAAGTTTCATTAGATCATGAAACTGGCCATGGATATCACCACAGACTGTTACTGGACTGTTGACAGGTTGCACATTTGACTCCTCAATAAGGATTTCTTTTACCTGTAATGTTTTACATAATAAAGTATATAATGCACTGTGTTCAGATAAAATGACAAAGGCTAAAACTTCATAGCAAATAAAACTGAAAGTTGACAATATAGCAATGATCAAATTACACCGCTAAAATGAATAACATAGAAACTAAATACTATTAACTCATATAACAGTAAAGTCAAACATATGACTCTTCAATCAATTAAAATCACAGTAAATGCCAGTTATGCTGGATCCTGGAAGCTTTGTTTTTATAAAAAAAAAAAACCTCAGTTATGTGATAATTCTTTAGAAGCAATACTAACAAATGATACTAAAGAAATAAAGCACTACAAATTACAAAAAAAAAAAAAAAAGGACGCCATGATTTTCAAGTACAGACATAAACTTGACATTTTCTTGCAATTCCTGATTCATTTCC